AGCTCAGCTGGGAGTGGAAAAAGGATGTACAGGCACCCAGGGGACAAGTATCCCAAGCAGCAGCAGGGTAACCATCTAAGGACAGAGATTCACCAGTTTACGAAAACAACTATACAGCAAAGCCCTGGCAATTACAGGGGACTAAACCCAGCAGAACCTGAAGGGACTAATACAAAACTAAGGTCCTCCTAATCTACAACTGGCACTTTCTCACAGATCTTTTCCCTAACTAAACTGGAAGCGATAACTACAGCCAAATCAGTTATTTTGGGTCCAGACACTGGGCTGACAAGACCTGGCACAGAGCAATAGCCTGCTCAAACGAAAAGCTTCCTGCCCTCACTGCAGGCATCAGGATGAGGAACAGTTTTGCAATAGCCACCCTGCTTCCCGACTGCTCTGGCTCTGAAAAATCCTTCCTGGATTTAACTACCCTGTTCCCAGGAGGGCTGGCAGATCACCTGTCTTCTCCATTTGTTAAAGGATTGATGCATCTTTAACTTCTGCCCCATAATTAACATTTTCTATTCTTTCCAAGTGGGTTTAAGTTATACAGATCAATTCTATCTCCAGCTTTCTGCTCCTGCCCTTACATGAGGAACTCTGCAGGCAAACTCCCACGCTGAACAGAGCCCATGTTGTGTAAGAGATAGAAACGGGACAATTTAAAAAAAAAAAGAAAGAAAGAAGTTCCCTTTTTGCAGCAGCAGCAGCTTTACTGTCTCACGTCAACTCTGTTCCTGTTACAAGCCCATCCTAAGGTGGCTTACAACTCCTCAAGCAAGCACGCTTGCCTTTAGACTTTCATTAACCCACAGCTCTAGTGCACTCCACCTCTCCTTCTCCCAACGCTTATCTGACTTACAAGTAACATTTGCTGGTATGACAAAGCACTGCTTTCTTACTGCTGCTGCAAGCCAGTGACATAAAACGCTCTCCTCCATATTTAATAATTGATCTGACAAAGTTCAATATTAAAGGAGGAACAAAGAGAAGTCACCTACATAACCATCTGCACGAAGCAAGACTAGAGATTCCAAGCAAGCCCTGGTTAGTTAGTTAATTAGCAGGAATCCCTCACATACAAATGACTTCACATTCACTGCTTGGTGTGGCTAGTGCAGGTGATCCCCTTGGCTGCTCTCACCCTCCCTGTGTCTCTGGGGATCGTCTTACAACTCCTTCCCTTCTACCCAAGCCTCAGCACCGTCACAGTTACTGGTTTCACCCTGGTTCTCCTATCTGGCCAAAACAACCCTCCCAGCTTTGTGTCCATGGCAAACAAATCACACTCTACCTTCCAGACATCAGGTGTTAGCAGGAGTCCAGGCGCTGATATCTGAGGCTTATGAGCTGCCTGCAAACCTTCCTCTGTCTCCTCCAGCACTCCAGGGAAGGCACATGGCATTTCTCCCCATTTACCCTGCTCTCACCAACACCTTTAGTAAGATGGTCTCAAATGACCTGTGGGCAGTGATGACTGTTTGTTCCTTCCCTCTACCATGTGCTCCTGATTCGATAACTTAATCTGTCCCTTCTCTTGCCCTGCTAGTCATGCAGAGCCAGAGTAACCAACAGGGAGATCCCCAAAAGGCCACATGTCCCATCAGCATCCCTTCTGCAGGGAGGTCAACACTCCAGCCTGAGGCTCCCAAGTCACATCCTTAGAAATGAGTCCTGGACATGACTTGGGAGGCTATTGCAGTTTTCACGCTACATCTCAAGCTTTTTCATCCATTTTTCCCCCCTCGCAGTCTCCTCTCGTTGTGGCCCAGGATCTTAAACACTGACTCTGACAGCACCTCCACAGGGCAGGCACCGGCACACAGCTTCACCCACAGCATCAAGGCTTTTTGGGCTCTCTACAAAGATAAATTCATAGGAAACAGATGTGGGTGAGAGGTTAAACTCAGGAAAACAAGGGTGAAAAAACCAGTAACAAAGTAGTAGTGGTTTCCCTGTGTCAGCACTCTACAGAGATAGCTCAGCTGTGGAGTGGAAGGGTGGAGGGACACAGACAGTGCAGTGACCTTATAACTTCTGGCTGCACATATTAAAGAGCCTGTCAACCCTCTCCACAGAGAGATATCAAACCAGAAACATTCAGCATTTCAAGCTGGAGTAGATGAATTACCGTTAATGTACTGATGTGTACAGTTGCAACAAGACCGCACAGAGCTCCCACAGCATACGCCTGCTAGCAGACCCTCCGACGGCATGCATGATGAGCAGCAACACCAGGGGGCAAAGAGGACACAGGCTCCATCAGCAGGGAAACTCATCCCTCTCTGATGACTTGCTGCAGCCAGGAAAGCTGGGAACAGGGCACCAAATTTCAGTCCCTGCTTACACCAACCACCTTGTTTACAGCTGCTCATTGCCAGCTCCAAGGAGGGGCCAGGCAACAGCACTATGTGGAAATACAAATTGTTTGTGAAAACAGAAGCAGCCCCTGAGCAACAAGAGAAGATCCACTGAGGCGTAATGGAAATTATTCAAGCAGCCCTTGGCACCCTGACATCCTCCGATCCTTTGAGCCATCTCCATAAATAGAACATTTTGGAGGGGCTGCAGGTGTGTGCAGGATGCACAGGGTCCAGCTGAGAGCCATCTCATCAGGGAGAGCATGCCAGCAGGTCACCCGCACAGGAGAGCAAGTGGCACCATATGACATGCAGCTAGGAGGAGATTAATGGGCAGAGAACCTGCCTAACTACTCACCTACCTAATGCACCTGGTTACAGCAAACAGCAGGTTCCCTCAATCACAGCTCAGATCCTGTTCCAGATCAGTGCACGCCACACTGCTGGGGAAAGGCTGCTATGTGCCTGGCTCCATCTGCAACAGTGCTTTGGGCAAGGGCTGTCTCTGTGCCAACGGCGGTGCCCTCCCCAAATTCTCCCGCCAAGTCCACCTGCATGCAAGCATGCCAGGTCTGATATGCAAGAGTGCCACCTGGGTAAGCCAGCAGCACAGGCTCAGTCCATGTACACTCACCGCTGTCTCACTGTCAAGCTAGAAGAAGCTGCAAGTCTTTATCACCAATTACAAGAACATACTGCCTAGTTTTACAGCACTTCCCCTACAAGCAGCAGGATTTCTACTGCCCAATTAGTAGTTCCAAGTTACTATTTAAAGAATGACAGCTTAGGTGAGAGGAAGGCTGCCTTGGTAATCATTTATGTCAAGCTCATCGCTGGGATTTGTTCAGGCTGTTACTGAACATTTAAAGTCATCCTTTCTCCCAAATTAAGTGCTGTAGGTTTCATGAGAGGGTCAATTATTAACTACTCTGCTGACCTCTTCAAATCCCAGGCACACACCACATTACCAGAGGAATGAGTCTGGCTTTTTCAAGAGTGACTGCCATCTCAGATGGCAGAGAGAAGGTTTCCTTTCATCTTGTTTCATGGATCAGACTGAGACAAGCAGGCAAGACACCCCCAGCCGTCCTGGCAATAACTCTGTGAGACACAGCCTACACAGCCTCAACTTCCTTTTTTTTTTAAAAAAAAAAAAAAAAACACAAAGAAAAAAAAGAAGGGGGAAACAAAAGAAGAAAGAAATCAGGGCCAAAGAGTCTGGTAACATTGGTTAAAAAAATCACAGCGAAAGACATGTGCAAACAACCGATCTGCAGACTGCCCACATAAGAACATGTTTTTACTTTTCAGGATGGTGTCATACTTCTGGGAACTGGGAGGAGATGTTCTTGCTTTATAGGACTCCAAATGCAATTTATTCGGGTCTCCCTCCCTGCCTGTCCATCCTCCATGACCCCCCCTCTGGGCACCCAGCTGAAAGCCTCGCATAACTGAGGCACAATCTCTTGTTAAACTCCCATTCTCTCCCCAGCTGCAGTTTCATTTCGCAGCAATTCTCACCGGGGCAGGCACCTTCTCATGCAGCTCCCCAACACCACCAACAGCTGCTAATCACCACAGCATGTTTCCTGTAGAAATTGAACATTTACCACATTTACTCTTTTCCTGTTTACAGGGTCACGTGTGTGAAGCCTTTCTACAAGCTGTCGTCACATCTTACCAGCTTGGAAGGAACATTTAGACTGCAGGCTCCCCACCGCAGACCCCAAATATTAAGAGCAAAGAGGTGTAAGGAGCACCTTCCTCCTATGCCTGTGTTAAGGCATGTTAACCTGCCACAAATTAGCTTAGCGTCCCTTTGGTTTTCTGCAACCATGTCTTAGAGGAAGGCCCTCTGTCCAACTGGCTCCTTATCTCTGCTCTTTGTGAACAGATTATCAAGTTCAAGATTTATTTTTTTTTAAACACGTCTCAGACCCTTGAGCTTCCCAATCCCAGTAACATTGTAGCAACGCAAGACCCTGAACAGATCAAGTTCCCCAAAGCCGATAAGGCCCGAATCCCCGATAAAGGCTGCAGAATCAGCAATTGCACCGAATAAAAGATGCTGCTTCAGTTGGTTAAAGGCCAAGTAGCAGTGTAGTAAAATTAAAATGGGAACAAAGTGCCACTAACCAGACTCCTTGTCAGCAAATTTCAAACATACCTCTCAGGATGTGGCCAAACCTGCCGCCCAGAACGGGTACAACCCTCCGCTCAAAACCTATTGCACAATTGCTTTAAAAATATTTGTTATTTTATGTGGATTTTTTCCTAGGTACCCATCTCCACCCTCATGCAACTGAGTTGGAGGCTTGGCAGACCCCACGTGTTTGCATGGTGGCTGAGTAAAATCCAGTATCAGAAGTCAAGGGCAGGCAGGGAAAAGGGGGAATTCAACAGGAAGACAAGGAGCCCTTCATGAATCACAGCCACTTTCTGGGCAGCTGCTGCTACCTTCAGAGAAGAGCCTGCAGAAGGGACAAGGTCTAGTTTTCTCTTTCATTGGAAGGCATCACAAAGTGCAAGAGCTTTTGCTGACAAATGAAAAGCCCTGCCAAAAGCCTTTGGCTCATTAGGAAAAGTCTTTTTTTTTTTTTTTTTTGCAATACTTACATGCACACAGCAGCATCAGGAACAACAAGTGCCCAAAGGCTACTAGTTACAATTTGTTTGCACCAACCTTCCAGCCATGTACCCACTCAGGCTGCAGGATTCAATTAGGTTCTGCTGAGAAAGGCAACTACTGGGTGGGTCATCCTAATGCCAGCAAAGGTTAAACTCAGCTTGGTGCCAGTCTTTTAGTGACCACTGCAGGGCAGCTGCGAGGGAGTCTGCTGTCCCCACACTCTGAGCTAGGACTCTTCCCTACCAAGTCACTGAGATTATTTCAATGAGGACAAAACCAGAGAGAGGAAAATGAGTAAGAGTGGATGAACGAGGAAACCGGCATAACTGGTCCTTGATGCTCATCAAAGCCATCACTGAGTTCAGCAGTGATGGCCAGATATTTGAGGACAATGAGAACATTTGACTACATGAATTTCTTTTCAGGGATGAAGTTTTCTTGCCTCAGGGCACAGGCTGGTCACGGGGAGGAAGGAATTGGCCCCAGGGCAGCAATTTCACCATCGTCCAAACTTTTCCCTCTTCCCTGATGTCTGTGGCATGGGCACTCCGACTGGGACAGCCAGACAAATCAGATTGGCAAACATGGGTGAGAAGCCAAGGTGAATCTCGCTGATTTGGGGCAAAGGCAGATGAATTGAAAGCAATCAAAGCTAAGAGTAGAAGGTGGGCCCCAAGCGAAGCAGGGCTTTAGTCAGCAGGGCACATCTAAGGAAGCAGACAGGAAAACGGCTGCTTTCAGAGACAGTCAGCATTTGCTTATCAACTCTTATGCATTTTATCTTGGTGTCAGAAAGTCTCCACTTGACAGGTTTAATGAGATTGCTTACACAGGCCTGTAACAAAGTCACCATGGCTTGGCAAGAACAGAGCAGCCTCGAACAGAAGTCCTAAATGGTCTCCAGCTGCTGAGGACTCTCCCTCACACAGTCTGGAGCACTACTGGAGACCCAAGTGACATGGACACACCTGGAGGCATTGCTCCACGAGCAGAGCATAGGATAAACATTAAGCAGCCAAGCTACAGCAGGTAGAAGACTCAAACATGCGTGTTTGCCAGGTGGACCAACCCAGGCTTTACAAGGCTGAGGCAGCTGCCCACAGGCATACAAAGCAGGAGAGAAGACCTTAACGAGCAGCTGATGAATGAGTTAAAAACCCAGAGTATCATCACAACTATTCACAGTCACTTTTTGCTTGGACTTTGTTTCCCCACATTTCAGATTTCCCCCACTATTCCCAGCCATTACCTGCTGATGGTCCAGGCACTTACTCCCAACTCCTTTCCTTCGCCTACCAGTTTCTCCCCCACCCCATGCTCACAAGCCCTGAACGGGCGGATCTACCTTCTCATCTCATCTGCCATCACACCCCTCTGGACAGGGCCCAAACACCTAGCTCCTGCCTCTCTTCACTATGTTTTCCCCTTCTCTGACCACATGCAAACCTTCTGTCACTAGAGCAGCTTTCCAAATCCATACCACACCTTTACCCTCAGGTTCCTTTTAATCCTGCTGTCCACCCTACCACACTGTGGGATTCCCCAGACCACAATTCTCTCCATGCCCAGGCTGCGGATATCTGTCCACCTACACGCTGTTTTTCCCAGTCTTATCCTTCCCACACCACAAGATTGCCTCCTTCCCTGCAAGGCTCTGTCTGCAATGTGGACAACCACATCCTCTGCCTGGACCAGAAGGTGGATCTCATGCCCTCATAGAGACACAGCCTGGTCTGAGCACATCCTGGGTGTTTGAAGAAGGAGAGGAATAAAACATCAGTAACATTTACTTCTGCAGCTTCTCCTCAACAGCAGCACTGAACTCCTCTAATGTCATTGTCACCCACGCTCTTTTCTTTCCTGCCACTAAGAAAAGAGTGCCTATAGTTTCCTCCTGCAAACTCAGGACAACTCCCCCACAAATCATCATCTTCCAGAACCTATTGGGCCTTTCCTTGCAGAGATCAGCCAGGCCACCACGCAGAGGAAGAACTCATGGCCAAGTAGAAAAAGCTGTCCAGAAAAGCTTTACCTGATCTTTAAGCCTTCTTTTCCAATCACTCTGCAAAGCAAGAGCACCTAGAGGCACATTACACCATCACAAGGATGCCATCGGTTTTGGAAAGGAGCGTGCATCCCTTCCTTCTGCCCCAGGACTGACCTGGAGCTCAGCCCTACTCTAGCCAGTTCCACACCACCTTAAGACAGGGAACCGCACCAGCAAACCTCAGCAGCAACTTAGTCCCACAAGTTTCCAGCGCATCCTTACCTGACTCGAGGCACAGGTAGGAATAAAACCCTTCTGCTTTCAGCATGATGAGGAGGGACCCCCAGCCCAGCAGGACAGCAGAGAAGAGCAGGTTCTCAATGATGGCTGTGAATGCCATCCACCAGCGCCGGCGATGGGCGGTAGCAAGCGTGGGTGCCATTGCTGCCTTGGAAGATGGCCTTGTTCAGAGTCTCAACCTGCAGGGATAAGAACAACGTCCACTGAGTCCACAGACACAGCACATGCTGCTCAAAGAGTGCCAAAAAAGCATGGTTTAAGCTGAGATCTGACTGGAAAGCAATCAAACCTGCCTGCTGAATGTAAGGCACTTAAGTGTAAAACTTGTTTTTGCAGGTACCAGCTTGCCAAGTTACCTGGAGGGATGGGGGAGCACAGGCGCCCTTGGAGCAGCCCCTCCAGTGCACACACCATGTTCAAGGACTCCGTTCCACTTCCTGAGCAACAGGTATGAAAATGCAGCAAATATGAACTTCCCAGAGCCCACTTCCCCATCACCTGTACAGGGCAGGCAGCCCATTTGAAGGCAGTGAAGAAACACATGCCAGAGCAGGGGCCTTCAGCCAGCATCCCAATCTCCCAGCTGCTTGCAGACAAGAGTCTGGGACTGGGGAGGCAGCCCCACAGCCCTAACGGTGGCTTTAGTGAGCCACCAGGTCTGCTCTGCCCCACGCAGGAGCACAGATCTGCTCTGGAAGGTGAGCATGGGTCCTATATATGCAGTTTATACCACAGATGGCGGAGCAAGGAGCACTTTTTGCTAACTGCCAGACCACCCAGCTGGGAGACGAGGTGGGCTGCACCCTGCCCCGTCCTAGCTGTGCAGACAGCCAGGTGCACTGGCCAGGATAGCCCATGGCACACAGAATCATAGAACAGTTTGGGTTGGAAGGGACCTTAAAGATCCCCTTGTTCCAAGCCCCTGCCATGGTCGGGGACA